GATGAGTTCCTGATCTCCATTTTAAAAAACAAAGCATAATATACACTATAATTCTTGTCTGATGGGTTTGAAGGCAGTAAGAACACCTTTTCAATATAGCCTCTGATAACTGTATTACAGCTTTTGAAACTAGCAATTTGTTCATTACTTAGAATGCAACAATTTGCATTCTGGGTAATTAACTAGGATTGATAGAAGAAATAAAGGCATTCCTCCATGAGGGGTACTACTATTCTTCCAAATTACAGCATGATGCAGATCTATTATCTGTGCTCTAAATCTGCTGACCTGTCCTGAAGTAAAGCTCTGTCTGTGAACACAAGTCACTGGGGCCAAACTCCTAAAGTAATAAACAAAGTGTCAGGGGAAACTAGTTTGCCATTTCTACTTGATCTTGATACTGGATTGTAATTTTAAGCTTGGCCAGTGGGTTGTGGTTAAGAGTGGAAAGTGAAATATTTTTCTGGCATATGAAAGTACGTAAATAGGAAACAAAAGTACTCTCCAAAAATTGTTTTTTATATAATGGCTGGGTTTTTTTTTTAATATGGTATTTCTTAGGAAAATGTCTCCAGATGGGAAGGTGGTGTTTTTTCATGTTTTTTTGTAAGTCATGAAGCTGATTGATCCATGCTTGAGTTGCATTTCTTGAAAGTAACAGGTTGACTCATGGGAACATTGAGTAAGAAAGGTGAATGGATTTCAAGTTTGAAACTACATGACTATGAGAGATACAGTATGTGCTATTCTTAGAAAAGATGCTAAAAAAAAAGGAGGAAAAGGAAGCAATTCACAGGCAATCTCTCCATGAATATTTGTTTAACTTTTCCAGTCCGCTGCTTGAAGCATTAGATCTAAGCCACTCACAGCTTCATCAGAAAAGTGCCACTGATTAAAAAAGTCCACTGTGATAAGGTAACTCATCAGCTTGATGATGCTTTATGGGTTTAAGAAACAAGGTCAGTTCTTGCACAATAGGAGAGACTTCAACAAGGATTCCAGTTGTAGGTTCTTGTTGTAAATGTAGATAGAAGATTTCTTCATTAAATTCCTTTTCAGGACAGTAATGCTAGTTTTTAACATCTCATATTTGAGTGTAATTCAACAAGAATAGCAGTGCCTTGCTCACTGCATTTGTTGAGTCTCATGGTTTCTGTTGATACAGAAGTTACCTTTAAAAAATATCTTTTAAAAAGAAATACAAACATGGGAAAGAAGATGTGCTATAAATGCCTTGCAACATACAGAGTAATGTTTTTTGAGCTGAGTGGGGATGTATTGTTAGTAATAATCAGCAGTTGACTAAGTCAAGAAGTAGCTTGTCTTTGAAACAAAGATTGCGTTTGGAGGCATGTGTTTGTGGGGCTAAGCTCCTTTTCAAAAATATGTGCATTCACTCATATAATGTCAAGAATAAAAGAAATACTTTCAGATACCTTTTAATAACTAGAGAAGCCCTATAAAGCAGTTTGGACTTCGGAATTATTTAAAAAATGAAGCAGAGGAGATGGCAGAGAGAGGCAAAACAATCAGATGACGCTTAGATTTTAACACTGGGGGTAGCAGCCATTAGATCAGGAGAGAAAAAGGAGTGTAAATTATCTCTAACGTGTGCTAGAATAGCATCTAGCTATTCTATATATTCTATATATATATATTCTATATACTGTTATGTAGCAAAGGATATAGGTTGCACTTGCACAGCACTACTATGGCCTCAAATAATTTGCTTGAGCACACTGCATCTCTTTCTGTCCTGTAGTTTCATGCTTCACAGTGACAGCTAGGTTGAATTTACTAACTCTGTGTATAATGCCTGTGGGGTTTTTGAGGAAATAGCATAAATATCCACAAACTACTGTGATCATCTGCATTTGTAACTGTATAAATTGAACAAGGGAGTAGAGTTGTTATTTTGAGACTTATGCTTTTCATGTCTGTAAGCCAGCGTACTGAATACAAGAGTAACAGGAACATATGTGAGACTTTTCAGTGCTCACCGAGGGATATTTACTCCATAAGCCAGTGGATGAAGTGGAAGGAGTAAATCACAACCAGCACAATCTAATCAGTGACTAATAAAATTGTGTTCTTCCCACCAGGAAAACCTGTACTGACCTCTTTCCAGCCAGGAATTTGAAATTTCTGAGGACAGAGAACAGCTTTGAGAATTTAACAACTTCCCCCTCTCCCCCAAACTTATGGTACAGAAAGAATACATGCAGTGTCTTTATTTTTACTCTGGTACCCATAAACCCATATTTATTTATATATAGATAGATATATAAACTGGCATATATATATAGCACACTAAAAAAGATTTTCACTTATTTCAGGATTTTTCAATTTAGGATCATTAAGCAACCTTGAAAATGAGATTTTTTTGTATAGCTGATTGAAGTAATTGCACAAGGAAATAGAAGAAATATACCAAGAACTATATCCTGATCAGTGACTGCTGGAGTTCTTACACATATCAGTGTTGAAATTGGAGAGTCACTTTAAAAGACAGACTTTGCCACCTGCCATCACAAGATCTCACGTCATGGAGATGAGAAAAGGGAGTCAGAGTACCAAAGGCAAAGCAAAAAAAAAACCAACCAAACCAAAACAAAACAAAAAAAGCTAGAACAGGGAAATATCTGGTTAAATATTACAGTAGTAAGGCAGTCTTAAAGTACATTTTGGATAGACAAGAGATGTGTTAAGAGGAGTGGGTGTAGTAATACAGCAAAGAAAAAAGAGTGCTAATTTGCTAATTACTAGATTTCTTCAAACATATGTCCGGCATGCCAATTTCAGCCACTTTTGTCTGAATTTTCTAGCGCCCATAATGAATGTTGATATTCCGGCTTCTGCCATTAAGTATTGTATCTCTCCCTAAATACTGTGTAAACACATCTTCTTGGTTTTCGTCTTCATTTTTTCCTCTTCTGTTAAGACATTTGTGGTGGATTTCTACATCTTTCAGGTGAAAAACATTCTGACAAAAAATAATAGATGCATTTGGGTAAATACTGACTTTGGGGTTTTATAAATATTAAGATTTACAGTTCCATATTGTCAGCTTTGACTTCAGATATGCATAGGATCTCTGTGCTTCTCAGAACAATTAACCTTCACTATTCACCACAGGGGTCAGTGTTAATGCGTGTATTATTTAATTCTATAATTGTATTATTTTCATACACATACACTGGTTTAGCATGAAAATGCTTGTTCTGAAATCAGGAAAATATGCTGGTGGTATGCCAAAGTGGGATATCAATGCAGTACTGTATGCAGAATTTTGAATTAACATAATTGTTGGGATATAGCTACATTATTTCTGATGTGCTTTAAAGCTTTACAGTTAAAGTTACATTTAGTTGCATCATCTGGTGCTTCAGCAAATGCTCTGAACTCATCAAGTGGCTGATGCATCTGTTTGTAAAAGGCTTGGATGGTCACTTTATACACAACAATAAACCCGCTGTTGTACTTAATGAGGTCAGTGAAACAGCCATAAAAGAAATATATAATTCTGTAGCATGAGTCTGCAAGCATGGTATTGCCTAAGCTTTTTAAGTTTAATGAAGCAGCTACTGTACTGCTGAATATTCATATTAAACAGTCTCAGCATGGATTTTAAAACTAAAATATTGCTGATACCATGATCTCCTTAGAGAGTCCGTGGCTCTTACTGTCTTAGAAACCCTGCATCTTTTATGTGTTAATGGTTTTTAAACCAGCCATTTGCTTCATTTTCATTGTCAATGAAGGCCAGTCTGATTTCAGCTGTAAGCTGTATTATGAGCCTCCAGTTTCCTCTCTGGGGTGTGTGTGGTCTGACATAGCTTAAGTAATCCTGTAAAACAAACATTTTGCAAGCATTTTCCTATTTTAGATGCCTCTCTAAGAATGTAAAAGTCCCTATGTGAAAACTTGCATGTTTGAGGTACAGCATCCTCATTGCATCTTCACATGCTACAAAACCTTACTGCCAAAGAAAGACATCCATCCATTCAGGATACTTCTGAAAGTTAGCACTGCCATTTGCTGAAATCCAGTGAAATCAAATTACAAGATTTCTGCTACTGTACTGGTACTACACAAGTAACAGTGGTGTCTGATGCAAAATGCTTTTTCTTGAGGGTTAAATGCAGGGCAGACAAATATGCCTGATTTCAACTTGTGAATATCACAGTAGTAACCTGTAACATTTACACGTGACTGTAGGCAAGTGTCTCAAGTCATGCTAGGAAGTCTTTCCCCCTTTTGCAGAGGGATTAATCCAGCCTGTATGTATGCCGTCAGTAACAAACCTGGAGAAAAGCTTACAGGCACATGGGCCGGCGTGCTGCCTGTTGAGCCACACAGCCTCCTTTCATCAACAAGTGCGCCCACCAAGGAGCATCGCACAAAGGTATCAGGAATTTACATTTCCAGGCTCTTTCAGGTTGTCAGCATAACCCTTGCTTTCCAATTACCACAGTTAAAAGCATCATACAAAATACACTTTAAGTGATGGAAGAAAAACCGAAGAAGAGAGGAAAGACACAGGGAAGCTATGATTTCTACCTCACCTTGTGTCATAAATTATTACTGCACACAGGCTGTCATTAAGCAGGTCTATGTGACAAAAGCCCTATACGGGATTATTTGTCAGGTCTGTGCTCTGCGTGAGGGCAGAGGAAGGCACTTAACAACAGTGGAGTGTTTTCTCAGGAGATTTGGAGCTCACCGGTCATTTTCTCCTGTGATAACATTGATGGACAGGGACAGTCTTTAAGTTTAAAAGCACACAATGTGAAGATTGTATATTCCTTTGTAGTATTTGGAGGAGGAAGAGACAAAGAGGTTCAGTCTTTCCATTTATCACTCATAACTTCAGGAGTCAGCAGAGAACAAAAAAAAAAAGGAGCACAGAGACCCAGGTTGCTGTTTTTCCACGACATGTAATGCTGTAAGCTTCCCTGTGGCGATTTGGAGGGCTGGGCCAGGGAGGGGACATGTTACATCTCACACCTGGTATCGATCAGTGTAGCAGAGTCGCAGACAGGGAAGGACGTACCCCCTTCCTCTGCCTTACTGCCCTCTACTCTCTCTTTTGTAAATGGGGACCCACTGCCCACCACCATGAGAACGAACTGCAGCAGATACCTGCCAGGAGTCCCACCAGAGCACCTGTACTCTCCAGCACCCACCAGCAAGACCAGAGCCAGCGGCGGTGGCTGCCCGGAACATGTCACACCGGTGTCCACCAAGGATGGGCAGCTGCTCTCTGTCATGCAGACCCTCACCACACAGAGGTATGTGGGGGGTGCCATGAAACCCTTTCCTTCATGGGCTCATACAGGCGCTTGAGGGGGAGATGTGGTGATGTGCTTCATGGGGGCTTACCATGGTGCACTTGTAATTAAATCCTTATCCTAACTTTGTAATGATTGTTCTGCATATATAATTAAATCCTCACCATTACACTTGGTGAAGACTAAGGAAGCAAGGTGTCTAGGGATGCTGCTCTCAAGTGTGCCAGCTGCAGTAATTTGCCCTGATAGATAGTGGAAGGCTCCATCAGGTGCTTGCTGGCATGGATGCTGTGTTTAGCCTGTGTGATGCTGGCAGCATTTCCGTGGCAAGTTTCCTTCACACTTCCTAAGCCAGTGTGTTTAGCAGATAGACAAGCTATTTCTAGCAGAGGTGCACACACAACTGTTGCTTCTTCAGCCATTGCAAGTGACTGAGAGCGGCTTTCTCTGTCAATTTAGAATGGCAGATTTCAGTGGTAAAATATACACTGAAACTATACCCTTCAAAAGCCTGCTTTGGGTTGGCTTTGTTTTCATCAGAAGCAAGAAAGAGGATGCTTAAGGGTCTGGCTGTATGCAGACTTGATACTTGGGTCAGAATTAAGTTCCATTTCACTGGTAGGAGGCTGGAAAGACTGCATGGGTCTTAAAGTAGCCCTCGATTTTCACAAAACAACAAATAATAATACAATTCAGTTCACTGCACTCTTGTGAAGAGTGAAATTAGTAACTGCTGCTGCATGTGTGATGTAACACCTGAAAGGCTGTCTTTTCCCCGTGACTTGTAGCAACTCTTTTAAAACTTGTGCATTTTGACAGCTCAGATGTGTGTGCAGAGTATCAGGCACAACTTCTTACTGTTTTAGCAGGCAGGTTGAAAGGAACAGGCTGGCTTCTTTGGACTTTCCTGCAGTTACACCTGAGTGAGGTCTATCTGGGGCATCCTGCAAAGAGCCAGAAGAGGGACAGAGGGAACAGCTGTGTGCCACCATACACTACTTGCTAATGAGGTTTTGTCAGTGCCAGTGATAAAACCTGTTTCTCTGAGGAGATCACCTTATCTGGTGTATGTGGTAGGGAGGGTTGTTTCTAAGATCTCAGTCTCAGCCTTGGCAGTCGGGGCTGAGTTGAAGCTGCAGTGAAGTCCATGGCCCAGCAGCACCGGTGCTTGCAGCCTGCTCCTGCTTTCGTCCTGATGCCCTAAGTCTGAGCACCCTGAGAAGCCATGTGCTGCCTTCCTTTCAGAAAAAATTCCTCTGTAAATTTGAGAATCATCACAGTCCTTATGTTTTCACCGTCAGGAGGAGCACCCATCTCCTTTGAACATTAGCATCCCACCACCAGGAAAGTGGGTGCTTTGGGGGAGGCAGTGCAGGAGAAATAGGCACAGGCAGCAATGAGGGAGAGATGTGTTTGGCACAGTCCTCTTTTTCAGTGCTTCTGAGGCTGCTTGTGAGATGTTGTTCCAAAGAGAGGGAAAACTTCCCCCAGGGACACGAGCTTCATGCCTGCAAACACCTGCCCAAACTTGTGTCCCTGCTTTCAGACCACAGCAGTGCAAGTTGTGCTGTTGTTTCAAGTCCAGTAGTCCTTTGCTGTTGATTATTGAAAAAAGTTTACCCTGTAGGTCAGGGGATCATCACTAGCATCAGAGATTGATATCCTGTAGCTCAGAAGAGATGGCACAGGTCATCAGTGGCATATGGGAACAGCTGAGGCAGGTTTAAAACTTCCGTGATGTATTTAGAGATTTCTTGAAGTGGCTGCACTGTGAAGAGGTGGAAAATACAAAGGTACAGAAACCCTTGGTCATCTGTCTTTAACGTGACACTCTGATGTTTTTCACTCTCCCTCTCTACTTTCCCCCCACAACAGAAGAGATATTTTAAACAAGAATATTGAAGTGCCAGCAACCATCAGCCAGCAGCTTGGTGTACCAACTGCAGAACAAAGTTCGCAAGCTGCACATGTCCCGATTGTTAATTTGTGACATGCAGAGAGAGAGGGTAGATCACAACAATTTTCCCTCCTCCTTCAGCAGCCCCTTTAATGGCCAGCCGATATGCAGGATCTGCCATGAGGGCAGCAGCCAGGAAGACCTGCTTTCCCCTTGCAAATGTACAGGAACATTGGGGACCATTCACCGCAGCTGCCTGGAGCACTGGCTGACGTCTTCAAACACCAGCTGCTGTGAACTCTGCCACTTCAGGTTTGCAGTGGAGCACAAATACAGACCATTGGTGGAGGTCAGTACTTGGGGCATGTCCCCAAAACCTTACCTTTAATGTGCAAATCATGTTTGTTTCGATACAGGCATCACAAAGTCCTTTGGCCGAAGCCAAAGCAAGCTGTGAGTTTTGGGATTGGCATGATGAGGGCAAGAGGTCAGGGAAAGGGCAGAAATAACAAAGCTCTTATTTTGAAGTGAATCAAATCAAGTGAGAAGAATAGGATCGATGGGTTTGCTTCATTGTAAACTTGAGTGAAGGTGTGGGAAACAGTGTGCAGTGTATTCCTGGTCTACCAGCCAGCTTGGTAAGCTGGCTGGTAGAAGATGGAAGAGGCAAGTAGTAATTTCTGTGGAAAGTGAGACAAGCATCAGTATTAAATATAGGTCAAGATTATATTTTCACCTTGCTTCTGAGGGAGCAGTAACAAACCAAGGAACCTTAGAAAGGTAGTTTCCATGTTAAGCCCACAAGAAGGAGTAGTTCTTAGTTGGTGTCTGGCATGTTTAGCCATTTGTGATGCCGTTTGTGATAGCCATAGATGCTCTGTGGCTGCATACACATAAAGTTTGCCAGGTTTGGTGGTCACTATCTTTACACTCTTGATGACCTTTTGCCTCTCCTAATTAGAAAAAAAAAAACCCAAAACAAAACTGTAAAAATAGTGGCTTATATTGCAATTCAAAGCGAATTACAAATAATAACATTTTTCAGAAGTAATGAGAAGCATCTTTTTTTTATCAGCTGGTGACACAATCACTTAAATGCTAAGTTTAGGTTCGGGACTGTGTGTCTTTCCTGTGTATCCTCATTGCTCCTGTGAACTGTAGCAAACTGGTAGAAGGAGATATGGTATTAAAAATAAGTTTTTATTCACAGATTTTTTTTATTGCTTTTATTCACAGATGAGAGGATACAGCATAAAACTGCTGGGTAGTGGGTCAGAGGCCCACACAGAAAGGGGGTGAGCAGTTCTCACTAAGGATTACCAAAACTGCTTATGCTGGGTTAAGGAATGTGTATTTAGCACAAAAGCTGTAATCTAGCCAGAGCAAGCCTAGGCCAGCTATGTTTGCTTGCTTGTTGTTTGGTCCTTCTAGCAGGACTCCAGACTCCGCCGGGAAGCTGGTCCTGGTTTCAGAAATGCTGCTGTTTGTTGAGTATTCTCAGGTAGTTAGGGACTAAGCAGCAAAATCTTTGTGGCTGATTCTTTATCACAGTTTGATTTTAGAGTCCAGCTTCTCCAAGCTGTTCCCTTGCAATAGCTGCTCATAGGCTTGCTTTAGAGAGATGGGGCATGATAGTGTTCAGAGCTAATGATCACTGAAGAACTTGAATGCAAAGCTAACCCTGCTGAGGCTGGGCAAGTCTGGTTTCTTGATCATTCCCTGATAAAGTGTGGCTTAGTTTTGACAAAAGAATTAATAAATAGTAGCAACAACAACAACAATAATAACAATAGTAACGATAAAGCTTTTTTTTCTCAGCTGGACTAATAAGAACCAGGTTCAATAATATTTCTGAAACATAGTACACATTGTTAATTGATGTTTTTCTTTTTATTACGTAATCACGGAATCACAGAATCCTAAGGGTTGGAAGGGACCTCAAAAGATCATCTAGTCCAACCCTCCTGCAAGAGCAGGGTAACCTAGAGTACATCACACAGGAACTTGTCCAGGTGGGCCTTGAATATCTCCAACGTAGGAAACTCCACAACCCCCCTGGGCAACCTGTTCCAGTGATCTGTCACTTTCACAGTAAAGAAATTTTTCCTGATGTTCACGTGGAACCTCCTATGCTCCAGTTTACACCCATTGCCCCTTGTCCTATCACTGGACATCACTGAAAAAAACCTAGCTCCATCATACTGACACTCACCCTTTACATATTTGTAAACATTGATGAGGTCACCCCTCAGTCTCCTCTTCTCCAAGCTAAAGAGTCCCAGCTCCCTCAGCCTCTCATAAGAGAGATGTTCCATTCCCTTAATCATCTTTGTAGCTCTGCGCTGGACTCTTTCAAGCAATTAAATCTTTTCCTGCTTCTTAGCTACTATACCCACAATATTTTAGTACCGTAATCAACTATTATATGCAGTTGCACAAAAAGTCATAAAAGAAAAAGCAGGTCCGTTGTGATCTTACACAAGTATGTTTTCAGTTTAGAAGGGAATTGAAGCTGTACTTTTGAAGTTGAGAGCATCAGAGACAAAGAGTAACTAAGATGACTTGTACACAAGGAGAAAAATTAAGCAGAAGGGCACGAGTCAAAGTTTTTATTTCTGTTAGTATAATTTATGCTTGCCCTAAAATTTGTATTTATTTAATAGACAGTGCTTTGAAATAAAAAGAACCTCCTGCAAATAATAACAGCAAATATAAAATTTCCCAAAGGATGACAAAAGCAGATGCAAGTTTCCAGATTCCCACATCCTAAAAAGCACTAAGCTTTTAGTGTCCTAAAAGTACTGTCCTATCTGTCTCCCTGCATTACTTAGAGCATTAGGGCATGGAGGGAAGTTTATCATCAGGTATGTTAGGACAATCTTTCACAAGAACCTGCCATAATGTTTGGTCAAATGACAAGCCAGAGCAGCCACCTGCTTTTAACTCCAGCATGTGTGTGTATGTGTGTGGAGTCAGAGTTCTCTTCATTTAGTGAGAGAATTAGTTCTCCAAAGATTCTTCTGAACTAGATAATGGAAGTGGTAAGCGGTCCTTTCAGTGGAGGCAATGAGTTTACCACTGCATTTTAGGAGGTCAAGAAGGACTATTGTACTTATAAAGTCATTTGTAAAGTATTGTCTATAGAAGCTGATCCAGTAACTCCTCAGCAGGCCCTATCTCATGTACAGAATACATCTCATCCATTGGTGAGTGACAGGTAGTATAAACATGCTTGAAGCGATCTCAATCATCTTGTCCATCTTTTCTCCTAGAGGTTTTCCATCAGGAAAAGAAATGGTATTTCTGACTATTCACTTTCTTAAAGGAAAAAAAAAAAAAAAGAAGAGAACACAGTATTATGTTTTGTCCTCATTCCTTCGTTGCATTGGTCACTGCTTCTTAGCAGTTTAGCCATGGGTGTAAAGGAAATCTCAGTGGAAAATCAAATTGAGATACTTCACTTGCTTTATATAGAAATGTCACATCTGACTTAATTGCTGCTGGTAGCACCCAGGAGAGGCTGCAGCAGTAGTGGGCTTGAAATGAAGTAAGTGAAATGAAGCAGTAAGTGGCTTGGCTGGTTGTCCAGCCATATTCCTTCCTCCCCTGTGTACATTATGATGGAAGCAGCAAAGGATTTTGTGCCGTTCTTCATGATTTGATCAGAACAGGCTAGTGAACCTATCACATTTCACCTGCACTCCTCCTCTTTTACCATGTTGCTACCTTTCCATCAGTTCATGAGGAAATTAAAGCAATAAAAATTTGTTGCAGGATGGCTTTTTGCCTTCTTTTAAGGCATCACCTGTGTTCACACTAAGAATGTGGGCCCATGCACTTGAAAAGGAGATCTTTAGGTCAGACACATGGGGCGTATCTACAGCTAAAAAAGGCTGTGTCAGATAATCCTTGAGGTCCCTTCCAACCTGGTATTTGGTGATTCTAGGAATTATATCCTGCCTCCTGCGTGCATCATGCAAAGGATACAAAAGTGCAAGCAGCTCACCTTTGCTTTCTTTTCCCAACTTATCTTATGCACAGCAGTCTAGTCTTTCCCTGGATTTCTTTTGTGAAAAGAAGCAAAGGAAAAATAGCATTTATTTTGACCTTGATTTTCTCTTTTATCCTTCATGTCTTTTCTCCATCATAAGCTTCTCTCTGGTCAACTGAGTTTCAAACTATGTTCTTCTCAAGGGAGACATTCCTTTATCTGTGCCACAGGACATGTCTTTGTTGTCTGGGGGAGAAACATCTCCTAAGAAATGTACAATCTGCTAACTGATGCCCCAAACCCAACCACAGAGGCAGGAAATGGTAGGGTAGTCTGTCAGGCAGATTAATCCTCTCAACATTGCAGTTGTGAAGTTTCAGGCATTCTTTTTTTTTTAACTCACTCAGATTATTTTCCCCAGAAGAATTGTGTTTCGTGAATCAGGCATTATGGTGATTAACCTCTCCTTCAGCATTCAATGGAAAGTGATTTGTTCATTGCTATCCACCACTTCCCTACATCTTTTGCCTCCTGCTACATTGGGTGGGAGAGCTCTGTGGCTTGTCCTGCCTCAAGTCAAAGAAGCACACACCAGAGCATACACACATTTCACCTCCTCCACAGGTATTTGTCAAAGGCTGGTCAGCCAAAATGAGTGGTCTCCTTTACAGTTCCTTATCTCCATACTGTTGGCCTACATGCGTCAAATGTGTCCTGTGTGATTTTACAGTTATTCATAAGGACTGCTTTCTGTTGAGCCTTCATAGGCATTTGTAAATGGATGCCCTGCAGGTGGGTATAGTGCCCTGCCTGGCTTTCAGCACTTATGCTGCCTTGCTTATGGACTGAGCTAAACAGGAAATCCCTGCTTCTGGTGGGATTTCTGCTGTGAGGTTGGGCTCAAGCTCCTCAGTTCTCCATTGGGACCTAGAACTTGTTATTTCTGAGTCACTTGTAAAGTTATAACAACTGCACTAGAGAGAACGTGATGTATTATAAAGGAGCAAGAGATGGATTGTGATAAAGTATTTTCATACTGAAGATCAATGAGTCTGTTTATCTCCCCTCTGGAGGGCACCTGACAGGCCCTGGCACAGAAAATGGAGACCACCAACATCAATCAGACATAAGCTACTGGAGCATAAGCTCCCTGTATCATCTTTGGAGCTGCCATTTAGAGTCACGTATTTGCAGATAACGTGTTGCTATTGAGGTACTTGGCAGGCATGAGCAGAGCAAGCCTAACCATTTCACTTGATTTCAGGGCTCCTCCTTCAGGCAAAGGCATTGTTTAGAGACATTCACAGCCCTACAGTCAGTTAAAGCTGTTTGCCAATAATCCAAAAGATGTTGTCCAT